GTCCTCCGTTCAAAAAGGGAAAGAGCTGTATGAGCTCAGAAGTGAACTATTAAGGAAGAGAAATTCACCATATTCACCAAGCTACGACAACCCATACAAATCAACATCAGAAAGCGCGCATACGGTTTTATCCCCAAATGGTACTGAGGAGAATTGTATCAGGGTCCCATCCAATAAGAGGGCATTATAGCGCCGTTATCGCGTTTGAATCCATGGAAAGCATATATTTCATTGTAAACGCTCTAGAAGGAAAGCCTAGAAGAGGGAGATCCCGGGTCCGTTAGTAATTCTCTCGTTCCGCAAGAACTTATTTATACACCTAGGCTCAGTCATAGAATGATACACAATGACAATGAAGCTAAAAGACCACAATCAATGAAAAGAATGAACGCTCAGAAACAACACCAAACCTTGAGCATAATCTTTCATTGTATACGAGTGCTCATAGTTATTCTTCAGCCTTATCATCGCGTCGTCTTCAATCAATGCAAATGATAGGAATTTGTCGTGTCTCGCCCAATGCCTTATTTGGGTGATGCGTAATGCGTCCAAAAGGCAAGCAAGGTTCACAACTGTGATCTCCACATGACAGATCATCCCAAAGATATCGTTCCAGACTTCACTAAAATTATGTATCTCCCTTGATCTTTCGCATGCATTCCAAATTCTTGTGCAAAAGAAATAAAACAGTGCAATGTCACAAGCATCCGTTCCTGATCTTGAAATATGTGAAGAATATGAGGCGATCAACGATTCCACTTCGCTTCACAATCAATTCCATGGTTAAATTATGACCTGAAACTCAACAATACTGCAGAAAGTGACATTCCGACCTTGTTGAACCCATACATAACCAAAAAGGAAAAATGACATCAAGAAATTCAAGAAACACCTTAAATTCTTGAAAACTTTGGTCAACTCCTGGTAATCACGAATTCACGAACGGCGACGGCTCCCGGATGATAACGATGCAGTTGTTGATCAACTGTTGATCAATCCCGTTGTGGGATAGGAAGTGAAGTAGAACTTCACAGTAATCTACAATGGTGATATTATGAGGGTTGACTTCATAGATCTTGTAATCTTTTCCGTTCACACAGGAACTATTTCATACCGTAAGAATTCCGAGCCAACACAATACTGTCTTTCCTATTTCCACACTAGTGTTTCGCAACAACACAGGTGTGCCACCTTCGGGACAGTCGCATGCAACAGCAAATGACACCTGGGGAGACTCATGTGCGACGATCACTCAATCCCACCACTATTCTGTTAAAGTCCTTATACTACTTTTGTAATCTATATTCTGAGCTTTATCATTTCATCTCCTCTACAAATAACTGTCTGCTGCTATTGAGATCGCTTCAATTGCAACTTACATATTTCAATCGCTGTTATTACATATTCATTGGATTTAGTGTTTAGATTCGATAATGCTCCGTGCTATGTTCGCACGTGAGGTTGATGAGGCGGAGGTCCGCCGCGACTTCCAGCTCAAGGAGCTCGTGCTGTTTGCACAAACAGCGGCAGGACTCTTCATATTGGCCTTCAGTATATGGTCTATTGTAAGTTCCATACAATCACATTCAAAATGTTGGTATGTTTGTAATTGCTTTATGTTTAGATGAAATGCTGGGCGCTGTTCACGAAGGCTCGGCGATCAACGCGCCACTACGACGAGCTCTACCCCGAACTCTGAATCGAGCCCTAGCATTTCTCTATATTGTTATTGTTTTTAATAAAGATGTTTCCATTGTGCTGTCCTCAATGGAAAGGAGATTTTAGACACTCACACGGTGAGGGGATACGTGGTGCTACACTCTTTTTGTGGGCTACAGTAATTCCGATTGTTACAAGGGGGGGGGTGCGTGAACCATTTCTCTCAAACTTTTACACCCACCTCGGATTTTCCCTTCCCAGCAAAAAAGCTATTACTTCATACGATATGAGCCGACGCACTAAATGCTCCCCCTCCCCCCTCCTTCCTACCGGATGGCCGAATTTCATGTCAGAAAACCCTAGAAATTCCATTTCTACATGGTCTCGAATGATCCATGCAGAGTTCATGCATCATGGTCAAACACATAACAATAAATACAACATACGGAAACCTTACCCTTATTGAGATACTCGGAAGCCAGCACGAGCAAGTCATGGTCCTTTTAATCAATGTGGCATGAGCTAAGTGCCACAAAGAAAACAAAGGTCTCTTTGGCTCGGCAAGCGGCTCTACTTGCCAAATTTTTATCAGCACGCTAAAAGTGTTAACAAGGAACGTTATAACAGCTTCTTACGCAGTTTCAACAAACTATGCTGACTTATCCCACCAAGCCAAAATTCGTGATCGTTAGTGGGTTTGGTGAAACAAATCGAATCCAGCTCTTTTTGGAGACACTGCATCACGATGCCCCCTAATTAAAATGGACTTCATGGCTTATGATCTATGCCCACCAAAAAACGTGTGAAACAAAATGGCGATCAATACTAACCTTCACAGTGAGCTGGTCCTCAGGAGCTCCTTCTTTGAAGCTACTGTGCCCCTTACGAGAAGCATTGATGTTCTAGTGGGGGGCGGGGGGGCGTGGAAGGCAGTCACTTTGCGTGAGAAGCTGGGATGTTCAAGTTTACACTAGTTCGCAGGGAGCTGCATCATTACCCCTAATTGGATAGACCCTAGAATCAATTGTGAGAAAGGACTAAGATACTTGTGAGGATCATCATCGGCGAATCAGGAGCAGACGGCGGTTGTGAAACAGATGCACCATGTCTAAAATCGAAAACAGAATCAGAGCACCATCCAGAAAACTCAGGGAATCAAGTTTAAGGTCTGGTTTCCAAATTACTTATAACACTTTTCACAACTTACAAGTCACGGAAAATCCACAGTGGCGACGACGGAAATCCGTCACAAAAGGTCCATGGGAGGTACTTCAAGTGCAAACATGAAAAACGGCTCACGTTTTCTACATAGTCGGCGAATTACTAGCGTTTTCTTTTCGACTATAACGTTGACACTACACGACTTGATCGCCTTGGTCTGGCAGCCGAGTGTCGACACAGGCACTGCATTGGTGACAAGATTGACACGTGAATAGCCTTCAGTTATAATAACTAGTTCACCTTCAAGTGAGATCCTGCGAATAGACGTGGTGTTGCAGGCAGGGACGCTTACAGTATTCAATTTAGCAAAGGAAAGAAGCTTCGATACAAAAGTGGAAGCGAAATGTTTTACGCAGGTACCCGACAGAAGGCCCTTAGTGCGGCAAGAAAGCAGGGTCATCGAACGAGGCGCAGCATGTGTTGTGTGACGGTACATTGTTCACATACACGCCAAATTACTACAGTACGCGCAAGGGCTCGTCCGCTGACAGTGCCTCCTTGCCGCGCGACAATAACTACGCGAGACCTGGTTTAATAACGATCTTCCGCATAAGAACAGCGCTCGGAAATAAGAAAACCACAAGGGGTATAACCAATGCCTACAGCCACAGCTTTGTGCACAGTAAACAATTGGTAAGCGAAGCTCTACAGGACGATAGGCAATGACTTGATTCACAGCTCTATTTAATCATCATCCATTTTCATTTAAAGGTTTATCAGTTGGTATGTCGTTGCTGATACAGACCGAATGATAGATTAAAGAACATGCATGAATGAGCGTTAGCAAAACGCTTGGCATTGCAGAAACCCATTCGTTGGAGGGGCAGGAAGTTATGGGAAATAAGAAATGCTCACGCGGAGTAAATTCTCTCCGCATTCGCCTAGAGGCTAGTTCCTATTTAACAAAAAAAAGGTGGTTTACATAGGTTTTAAATGCAATGGCACCATAAGTTGGGTTGATAAATTCCACTCAAAACAAAGATGATAACTATCAACAAACCACAACCACTGATCCAATAAACCACAACCACCACAGGATTTTTGTCCGGGTATTGCAGGGAGATTCTTTAGTGCTGCATTGGCGCTCATTCAGCGACTATAATTCCTTTAAAGGCAGTTTTTCACGAAAATTGGGGAAGATTTGGACTTCACAAGATTTTCTTTGCCGAAAAGTGTGAGCTGATAGAGTGTGAACGGAGAGTTGAACTGAAGTGACTTTAACGATTATACATTGCAATGTTCAACGCTGAAGTCTGCGTTTTCTGTTCACTAGCGTATTACTTCTTGTTAGTTCGTACAAGTCCTTTCGGAATCCTCCGAAATTTTATGTTCAGTAACGAGGTTAGAACGCGCGCAACTGTTTAGTCCCCTCGGGGACGTGCCATGTAGTTTACCTCCCTTCAGATTCGCGGACTTATTTGGAAGGTAAAATATCGGTCGGAAAACTTTCCTAATCTCGATTTCTTCAACCTTGTTTTGATGATTACTTGAGATAGCGCAGAATTGCTTTGCGGACCCCTATGAACCACGAGAATCTCAAGTGTGCAGAATAGCACTGTCACTTGGAAATCAATTCGCCAAGTTTGCACAGCATCGATCCCTGCTGTTTGTCCTCAGACAGTGATGATCCCATTGCATCGATCCAGCCCAACACCTTCTTTCCAGGGACCCAATACGACCCCCCCTCCAGCGAACCCTAGGAGGTTTCCTCCCTCCCCCCCCACCCTCACAGCCATTCTGCTCACACAAAAGATATCTCATCCAGAAAAATTGCTCCGTGATTTGGCCAAATCATATTCAAGCGCTTCAACGCGCGAATTATTGTTCTCGCTACTATCTTTCGTCAAGGTCGGAGGTGCTGGGCTCCGCACACCAGTTAATCCGGCGGGAGACTTTCCTTGTGTTCGCCATCCTTGTTCTACATGCTCTAGCCATGTGTCCAGGTCGGGAGCAAACCGTACAAAATGATGTTTGCCGTTTGAAGCACTGATAAGCGGCATGCCCCTGACCTCCACAACATGTGCATTGTACTAGTACGGCTGAGCGGTTGTTTGATCCTTTCGACATATTTCGCGTCTGCTCCGTTAACACAATTTTTACCTGATAGTGGTCTGACTCTCGAGGACGGCACATTTTGCTTTGGCTTCTGCGACAGCTTCTCCTTTCTAGCCTGTACCAGGGAAATACCCACCTCTTGGAGGCCCTCTTTTAGATGAGGCGCATTCTTTCCAACCCTTTCAAAAGCCTCAGCTGCCTCTAAAGCCTCCTTTGAAGTGAGGTTTTCCCGTTCCAGAAGCCTTTTCCTGGTTTCCACAGAGGCTAACCCTCCTATGAACACCATTGTGACCATGGCGTCACGATGGTCTTTTATCTTTTCGAACTCACATGTCGCTGCAGCTTTCTGCAACTCCGCATAATAGTCCTGCAGAGTTTGTCCAGGGCGTTGTGTTCGGGACATCAATCCATACCGTTCCGCCAAGACCAGTTTCTTCGGTTGAAAGTGGCTTGCCATCGTTTCGCTCAGCTCCTTCAGTGGCACCTGTTCTGGCTCCCTGCCTTGTAGCAGCGACTCTAGCAGCTCGTAGTTACTTCCTCCATTTTCCTGCAAAAAGATCAATCTCTGTTCAATTTCATCACTGACTTTTCTCTTATAGGCGCCACCAAGTGCGCCACGGTGTACCCGGCACATAAGCGCCAGGTACGCGTCCCCGGTAGAACTCTACTACACGTACTGAAGTACCCGGTTCCGTCCACCGCGGACGCCTTAATAGAAACGGTACCGTCCTGTGATGTCGACATTTGAGCTCCTCTTGAATGCTGGATTGACTGCGGCCTCCTCTGGATTGGTAGTAGTCTCCTTTGCTTGGTTGCTGCGGCCTCCTCTGCTTGCGTGGTCTTCTTACGAATCCGTGAGTTACGGCCTGATCGCCGCTCGGGGCAGGGTCAACCCTATCGTTGTTACTCTTCGGAAATTTTTTACGACCCCCCCCCCTTCATGGGTGATTTGATACGACCCCCCCCCTTGTATGTAACACTTGTGTAGAGACAGTGTTTACCATCAATATTTATTGCTACGTAAGTCCCTTTGGCCTCCTGACGGTGGAGCGCATTTGCTCACGGTGAAGAGGCGTCGAACGGGGAGTGTGAAATTCGAGGAGTTTTTTCTTTTTTACATTTCAGGTAGTTCGGAAGATTTAGGTGGATTTTGGATCGACGTGGCTCCTTCTTCCTAACGAGTGCTCATTTGTTCTCAAACACTTCGGAATGAATAAGTTATTAGGCAAAAAATAAAATTGAAACACAATTTTTACACTCCTCTTTCTAGGGCTATAACTTCCTTCATATTCGAGCTTCTGCGCCGAAGTGATTTGATTTGGAAAATTCAAATTATTCTCTCTCCAACCATGGGTAAAAATTCTTCGAAAGTTAATTTAATAAAAATTTAGTACGTTGTTACTTTTTTCTGTGCAAAGCGACTTTTTGACCTTCAAACGATCATAACTTCCTTCAAAGTCATTCATTTGGGAAGCTGAACACGTATAATAAACTACAGGATTCAAGCTTTCTAACGAGCACCCAAGCGTTCCTGAAAGATCAGTAGTTCAAAAATTAGTCCCGTTGTTACTTTTTTGGGGGTTTGCGTTACTATTTTTTTGGAACCGCGACTTTTTTACCTTCAAACGATCATAACTTCCTTCAAAAGTCATTCATTTGGGAAGCTGAACACGGTATAAAAACTACAGGTTTCAAGCTTTCTAACGAGCACCCAAGCGTTCCTGAAAGATCAGCAGTTCAAAAATTAGTCCCGTTGTTACTTTTTATTTTGAGGGGTATTCTTCAAGCCATTTTCTCGAAAACGCGAGTTTTCTTAGGTTTCACTGCCCGTAACTTCTTGGAAGACCAATTTTATGTTTAATTTAGGATGTGCTAGAAAGCTTCGAGCATGCGCTTGCACTACATCCCTTGCCTTGGTGCGCGCCACGCCTCGGGCGCCCTTCTAATTCGCTGACTCATTTGAAAGCTCATTTAGAAGGAAGCGTGGTTTATAGATGCTCTAGTATCAGTCATCTTGCGCAAACGTAACGTGCTGGCTATTATCCATGTTTTCACAGGCAATAGTTTCATATGTGGTTTCGTGGCTTTATCCATGTCATGGTGCGAGCACTTTTTTCAGACGATGCTGCATGTCTTCCTCTTCATGACTGCGTCTATGCGGGAGAAGGCTTTGCATAATTGCACTAATATACACTACATAATATACACTTTCTGTGCTGCGTTTGCTCTTCCCTTCGTACCACTATCCATGATCAGTAGGATATCACCAAGAATCCCACTGCCGGCCACCGAGAGAGTACGACCCCCTCCAAGCTCGGAACTGAGTACGACCCCCGTTGTTACTCGTAACAACGTAGGGTTGACTCTGCTCGGGGTGTAGAGACAGTGGTGTAGAACTGTTTATTACCTACCACAGGGGGGAGGGGGGTTATATAGTGCTGTTATTGTTGATTACATTATCTTCTCCTTATCCTTCTTTCCATCACTGCTTCTTGATCGCAGCAGTCCATTACCTGAATCGATCGCTTCACCCCCCCCCCACAGGTATATCGACTATGTATATACAGGGGGGGCAAAAAAAAGACATTTTGCCCAGTCGCACTTCGGCCTTTTTTCTTCGCAGAGATTGCCGTCGTTGACGGAAGTTCCTCAGCAAAATATTCCCTAAATGTCCCTCTATAAGTACACGCAGGCCCTCCTTCACTACCCTCACCGTCTTCAGAATATGACGTCATCTGTCACCGTCGTCGAGCTCAGGGAGGCCTACAGTAACTGCTTCAGCCTGAAGCTCTTACATGATAGTTTCCTGGGGACATTAGCTCTAACTAAGCAAACCCCCTCGGAACCCGCCCTTCGGAACCCGTCGTAACGGTACACGATCAGTCGAGAACCCCATTGAGCTCGACCAGAGCACCATGTTTCCGGGGCAAACTTTTCTGATGCCGTCCACGTAGATGGCCACTATGAAGATTTTCTTATGAAATGAAATGCGCTCTTCAATTCTAAGTTGGGAGCACACGCTTTGAGCTGAGCAAAGTGTCATCAAATCCATCTGAGTCTGGAGACAAAATGTCTTGGTGCTAACTTAGTTGGGGGGACCACGCGGCGGCGCGGCGCTTTGCTCGCCTGGCATCTTTGCGTACTTCGGGAAATCCGTGAGCCAGGGGGACTGTAGGCAGTCTAGGGGGGTGGGGGGTGAGGGCAGTCACTTGACATGCGTGAAAAGCTGGAATGTTCGAGTTCACACTATCTCGCTCGAGAGAGCGCCAGGCAAGCAAAGCGCCGCGCCGCCGCGTGGTCCCCCGGGTGTGGGTACTTAGGACAGAACGCGACTTTTTCGCTCTTCGCAACGCGACATCGCGCGGCAGGCTGGCGCTCCCGCAGCGAAAACAACTACGGTATGAAGAACGCGCGATTGGAGCAGCTTTTTTGCATGCGTGAATTTGTAAGTTTCTGATTTATTGCTTGCCCACGCTCACACCCATTGTATTGAGACATGCGGTGAATCACCAATTCTCTCTCATCAATGGAAATGTTTTGTGAATTACACGATTCCGAGCGATGCCGTTAAAGTGGTATTCTAGAATTCTAGAACACTTCAAATTATTGGTGAACGAGGTAATTACACACTCATCGGCCTAGGTAATACTCTATATATCATAGCAAACTCTGACGAACTGATCCTTTGTCGTGAGTCTCATCGAACGTCCATCAACCACTCCTCTTCCAGGGTCTACCATCCATCCTCTGCAAAATTAACCTACCTCTTTCTTCACTGCTATTTAGTGGTCCTCTTCTGGTGGCCATTTCCTCGTTCACTATCAAGTCCATGGTTAGTAAGCTTCAAATTCCTTGTCGCAACTTAGAACCAGAGCAAATAACGCGCTCCATTCACGCGCCCCTCGTACCGTAGCTGTTTTCGCTGTGGGAGCGCTGGCCTGCCGCGCGATGTCGCGTTGCGAAGCGCGAAAATGTCGCTTTCTGTCCTAAGTACCCACACCCGATCCCCCCAACTAAGTTAGCACCAATGTCTTTTTTTTATTGGTCCCCCTGTACATAATGATATGATTTAAAGGCATCGTATATGGACATGTATCCAATTACGACGCGGACGTGAACGATGAAACTTCCTTCCGATATGCTGGTTACGTGGAGGCAACACGTAAGTTTTGTTGCACAGTATCACAATCTGATGAGGAATCTGCGAGCCAGGGAAACGAGAGGTTTTCCGATGTGTTTGAAACCTTCCGAAATAACGCGCCCTGATGTTAATAATCGTGATGCGACAGTGCGCTGGGGCGAATTTTTCCGCCTGGTTCGCTTTCCGCTTGGTTTTTTTGTATGGTGCTTTGTTGCCCATTTTCGTTAACACCGTCTTAAAATACCAAGATCGTTGTTATAATCCACATTCTTAGTATTCATGGCACTTTCGGAACCAAAGGCTAAGCGGCCATGTCCAGTCCATACAAAGGTATTTTATTTTCGTTTGTTTGCTTTATACCTTTTACGCACGCCTCTCTGTCTTTCAGGGGCTCCTCGATGAAGAGGAAGAGGATCGCCTTGCTAAGAAGCTACTTGGTGATATCCATGAAAGATTGGAGCAGTCATCCTCAGACGACGACGATGATACATGTATAGAAGAGGTCGGACTTTTTTCTTTGCCCACAGATGCAGTGTGTATAATTACAGAGAGGCGCTTTAATGAGTGTGATCAGTCATGAAAAACTTCTTTCTTGCCTTAGATATGTCGTGCTGCAAGTTTTAAGAGCCAGAGATTTTTCGTGGATGGTGGCCCAATTTCCACTGAAACTGGTTTTGCTCTTTTTTCAAGGAGATTTAGTAATGTGTATTCGCATGGAATACCGTGGAAAAAATGACAGATCCCAGTCTAGGGTTGGGTACATGTCCAGGGTCAAGCATAGGGTTGTTATGAAATACAAGGAATAGTCCGATTCATCAGCCTATACCTTCTAATTCTGACTACATCCGGATATCGTCTCGCTTCTTTTCCGTTGCGCAACAAGCTGAACATTCCTTTTGTTTTCCTGAATTATGTTCCTAGTTGGTGACAATTTTGTTTCTTTTCACTGGGCTCAAAGTAAGAAGTAAGGAAATCATATCGAACCTGATATTCGAGGAGGCTAAGTTCATCATGGTCAAGTATAGCTAGCACTTTTCCTTAGATGTCGGTCAGACTCATCGATACCGATGTCGACTGCATCGATGTGGGCGGCCCGTCGCTTGTGAACATTGCAAGAGCGACTGCATCGCGCGATGCAATCGCTCTAGGCAGGTTGATTTGTGAAAGTGCCACAGGGCAGCAGTATTAGGTTGAGCAATAATTATCCGCCGTTTTCACTTGATAAGTTTACTATTAAAATCAAACAAAAACAACAATCAATTCGTAATCAACGAAGGCTCTCGAACAGTCCTATCTGCAACTATGCTCATCTCAGGCTTCATTGATTCTACAAGCAGATGCATCCCGGTTTCGAAATCAACTTGCACTTATTCAGGCAGGGGCAATCTTTTTTTGCTAGTGTAAGCTCCATAGTAATCACTCGCGCAGTGATGCACATCAAAAGATGCAAGAGAATTGGCGCTTCAGACTACATCATTAACATCATAACCTTTGAAAAATCAGCAAAAAATTAAGGATGAGCCTGAAAAAAACCGACGGAATTATTTCTCAACCTAATACTTTAGGTGACCAAAATGATTTGCGAGCCATCGTATTTTGTGAGTCTGACAAAGTCACAATCTAGCATCCGTTGTCGTCTACAGCTGAGGTGCGCTTGAGGAATAGGATCATAAACATTCGCCGTTACTGACCCATAGTACACCAGGCAAACACAGGCAATATCATCGCTTTATTTAAGGGGGGTCTTTCAATCAAAGGTAACTTGCTTTTCGAATGCCCGACTGTCATGGACAGCGAGACTCTGCACCATCTCTAATCTCTAATAAAGACAATGCTGCTACTTGCGTATTATCGACGACACTTGGGGGGGGTGTTACCCTCAAACGCCCCGTGTAACAACACATTGAAAGAGCTCCAATGTGTTGTTACACAGGGCGGTTTTTGGGTGCAGCATGGAAACGCCGTCGGTAGCTGTCTCTTTGAGGTTGATCTAAAGTTATCCAAAAGGTGGGACCGAGAAAATGATTCCGTTCTGTTATTGATGGGATGATAAAAAAGTACATCATCTAGTGTGATTTCCTGCCATACTCGTCTTGACCACTTATGTTTGCGCTTCTCAGCTGCAGAAGGAGGCCGACAGGTTTAACTATTAAGCTAGGTAGTTCGATGTCGAAATGCTCTCCTTGCTTATTCAAACCCGGCAGCATTCGACCGCCATCTGTTTCTTCTTTTTTAACATAATAATTTTCATGAGAAAAAATCCAATGATCACTTGGAATTTGAAAATGAATGTCTACCCTTTTTTGACTACCCCGCTGCCGCCACGGTTCTGGTTCGTTAGGCATATGTTCTGGATCGTTACGGCGTACATACTTTGATTAAGATCTCATTCTATTACTCGTGAGAAAAATGTTGCCTCTGTAATGAAGGCCAACTTTCGATTAGGACTTTCGTCAAACTAATATTCCATGAACAATCGCGTTGCGTTGGTTCTTGACGTTCGTTATAGCTCTTTTCTCCTCGGATGAACCCCCTGCCTTAAGGAGTAATTAACGATAAGAGCGAGGGTCATAGAACAGAAAAGTTGCATAGTTAGGAGACAGGCGGACGTCCTGAGGGTGCTGACCAGCGCGCTGTTGGCAGCAAAAAATTCGACGTAGGTTCTGCCTTTAATGCACGCCCTTCGTTTTCTTCTTAGGAACATTTCATAAGTTCTCGAGAAAATAGCGTAGTAAGATATTTTTGATTGCGTTGACACATAGAGCTGTAATTTTAACAGTGTCAAGATTTTACTGTACAATTCTTTTCAAATGTGTCTCTTCAGGATCCGCGTGTGAGCTCGAGCTCAGTTTGGCGTGATGATGACGACGCTGCTGATCAGGTTCAAATTCTTAATGGAAAAACGGCTGTACTTCTGAAACGTAGCAGCGACAGTGGTGGTTGTATTGCAGCGGAAGTAAGTGTCATTTTTTTGATGATTTGTTAATTCACGATATTATCTGACTAGTCAATCCAAATTCAGGAATATCAAAGTCGTCTTCGGAAGGCTTTTCAACGGCAACAGCATGGCACACCTAAGTGGGCTAAGCTAGAACCAAGTACTGTATAACATGTTTTTGGCGTCAATTTTGTTCAGAATTCATAAAATCGAATAATCTAGAAAAGGACTCAGCCCAAAGCAAAGGTGACGAGTCGGATGCCGAAGTGGAAGCAGTGTTCAATGAGATGACGCGATCATCTGTTCGATACGTAGACAAGGATCCTTTCCTAGTTAAAGATGTTGTGTCTACATTCCGCTGGCCAGATATCACAGTTGGATACCACGACTCGGTGATTGTTGTTCATCGAATGGAGCGCTTCTCATTTGCTTCATGAGCTCCATTTTTGTTGATTTAGCGACCGATCAGCAGTGTTTTATTCCACAATGTCAGACCTGTTGTTATAACAGGTGGAGCTTCTGGGAAAGTGCAGTTATTCAGGGTGAGGTTTCACAAATAGACCTTCGTCACATTTCGTTATTGTGTTATGTATGCATCAGGTCGGAGATAGGTCAGAAGCGGGGAACTTCCTTCAGAACGTTCGATTTACTAATTTTCCCATCACATGTATGGGCTTGTTGCAAGGAGGCTGTTCAGTAGTGTGCGGATCAATACGTCAGGTATGCTTCTTTTTGGTCTTTCCATGAAAGTCTTTTTAACGTTTATGGAAAATTTTACCTGCAGCTTATCCGTGTCATTTTTCTTTTCATTTTCTCTTCTGTTGACGTTTCGAAAGTTTTATCGAGGGCCCTTTTCACAGATATTCTGCTTTTAAAATAATCTTGCAATAATGGGCATTTTCGCCGTATCTCCTCATCTTGAGACTTTTGTTCTGAGAAGTTTAAACCCATTCGTGACAATGGCAGCCACCGGTGGCTGACAAAGATCTCACTCGGGACAATGGTATCCACCGTTGGCTGCCGGTTTCAAATGGAATTTGGAAAGTTTTCTTCCATGAAAAGAATCTTCATACCCTCATTCATCTACGCCAGCCCTGGGCAGAGGGAAATCTCCATCCACTCAAATTTTATTGAAGAAAAATCTATTGCCCAATCCCGCGCGGTCGCGAATGGTTAAGTAGTGTTGTTTTTTTTAACCTGCTTGTCATGTTAACAATGGGAGCGACTCCAGCATATGAGAATAATTTTAGGAATATCTCATGAAGTACGATCTAGAACAAGGAGCTGTAATGCAGTTGCGGCTTCCGAAGTGTGAGTTTTTTACCAACGTTGGACCTCGCTTGGTTATTGTTCTTTCCACCGGGACGTGTTTAAGGTGTACCTAGTCAAAACATTGGACGTTTCGCCGTATCCAAGGATGGCTCTCTGTTAGCTATGATTGCTCGCAACGCACAAGTGTATGTGTTGTCCTCGTCGGTGAGTATAGACTAATAAAACTGAGTACGAAGTAGTTTTTGAAGTAGTCTTCCGTTTTTCTCAGTCCATGGAACTGGTCAAAACATTATCTTCGCCTTCGGACGTGGCATCAGTACAGTTCCTTCCTGGATCCAATCACGAAATATGGGCAATGACAGGTAATAGCGCTCACTTTCGAACTATGTGTGAATTTATTTTGGTTGAGACTAAAATATTTAGGATGCATAAACTAAAATCTTATGTAGTGCCGATTCTCGAGTATCTGACCATTTAGCGAATTGTGTCCGTGAGTGTATTCCAGATGATCTTTCTTGCGTCACTAGCTGCTGTTCAAGCGCGAACATCCATAACTCACGGCAGATTATATATTGTCACCTTATACTGAGTCTCGTAAAATTTTGACTTTTTTGAACCGTAAAAATAAGGAATCATTTTTCAAAATCATTTCCTGCCTTTTCATCTCTAAGGACCCCTGACTTCAGGTCTCTTTCATGAAAGCATTTTTGAGCGGTTGGTAGCGATGTTACGAGGCGCGATCTCAGAGAGCGGATGGGAGTAAATCTTGACCAAACGGCTCCGCTTCACGACGGCTCGACTGAGCAGTAAGGCTGGTGTCAGAGTCCGCGACCCATCACAGGTTCGCGCGATTCGCGCGACAGATCACACAAATCACAAGTGCCCGATCAATACTGCAAGGTGCTCTCCAATAACGCCGCCACTTCTGCTTGATGGTGATGGTTGAATGAAGAACATCTGGCCCCAATATTCGTTGCATGAAAGAACCTTATAAGAAGCTTTCTTCAGTATTTATAGATGGCTACCGCATCCTAAAACGCGCCCTGTTTGAAGCGCTGTTGGCACGATTATGCTCACCACACCAGACTTTACCTAGTATGCACTGGAACTCGCCTCGGTTGGGATTCACAAACTTAGGATGTTCTACTGTAGAATCAGAGTTGAACTCCTCTGTTGAACAGATTCTTACCTTAGACCAGGACCACTCGTGGTAGGTTCGCTCGAAAAGCTCAACCCTTCCATAAGATGCGTGCCCTTCCGTTGCATAAGTCGAAAGCTATTGTAGCCGAATCGAAAATGATCAGGACACGTCTCTCAGAACTTGCGAATTTCCAGTACAGAGTGCCTGAAACTTTTGATTGTGAGTGGATTGAAAATGAACATGGCCATTGATACTTTTTGTAGTGTTCGTCAGGCTAAGTTTGTGGTCGAACCTAAAGCTAAGATCGCAAACATCTTAAAAGTTGACGCTTCTGAAATCTTACTGAATCATTTTACGTTGGCAAGGTAAAAGAGTGAAGTTTTATCATATGGGAGAGGCAGAGCCTATCCAGCAGACCAAGACATAACAGAATCGATCACGTTATGGAGGCCTTTCTGTTCTTCCAAATTCTCATTCTGTGTCTCACATGTATAAAGGCATGACTATCAATCTAGATAACTCTAGTTAAGCGGAGAGCGACTGATTAACTTCTTTCCGTTTTCTATTGGAAACTAACACAATACAATTTATTTCTTAGCTATGGAATAGGTACTCGATCGGAGATCACTGCGAAATCGACGAAGCCTGCGCGCACTTCTCACACAATTCCTTCCCTGAATATTAAGGTAGTAGGAAGCACAGTCGTACCTTTTTCACGAAGTATAGCCGTCACTCTGTAATTCTTGTGCGCTATAAGTCTCACTATTCGATTTTTGGTATCCCACACTTGCATTGCTTTCAAAACGTCTGCGCAAGCATCGCTCCCTTTTTGGCTGCACTTCTAACAGAGGAGACGTATATAGAAAAACGGACACAAGGGCAATTATCGTCATATGAGTGGGCAGTTGTATGTATTTTACGATTCTTTTGCACCTGCAGGTTGAAGTTCTACGGTGCACAGATATGATTTTACAATGTTGTGTAAAATTAATCGGACGTGCGAGTGCGAGTGTCATAGTCGTGCCATCTGTTCAAAGGTGCAAAGTGAGCTTGTGAAACGGCTCCCATTCCTTAGCACGCGTCTTCACCTACGTAATTACGGTACGCCTGTGGAGTAGCAACGTAACGTAGATATGTATTGTTTTCAATCCTTATGGGTGATGAGGATAAATCCAAATCCCATTATCCAGGTCGATCACCACCACTACATTTACCAACAGACCTCAGTGGACCACTCCGATTTCGGAATAGCATACAATAAGACGCTCTTGATTTACCTAGTGATTCGAATCTTGATATGCCTGCATCTTTTTGGCGTGTTCGGCGTAGACTTTGGTGTGGTGCGTGCAGCTACCGCAATGTAACATTTCAGTCTACGCTGCTTTGGATTACAGTAGCTCTTCATGAATTCTGAAGAAGGCTTCTTGTCCATTCCTGCAGAGCAGTCGAAGTCAGTTGAGCCGAGTATGCCACTTTCGGTGACCTTCGGACTAAGCAGTTACCGGTATCACATTGCCGTCAAACAAGCGTTAGGACCGTCGCGAGCTTGGTGTTGAGACTTATCGCGGAACTGACAAAGAAGTGGTTCTCCTCATCTGAGATTTTCTGGAATAGTTGAGCACTCTAGGGGAGGGGTGAGGGTGAAGGAGAGAATGAAGTACGAGCACAATTGGGGAGGGGAAGTCGGTTGACTGTGTAATAGAGGTCGACATCATGAAAATCCTCATATGAACGAAAGAGTGTCTTTTTGTGATGGTTGTTCTTCCGCTGTGGTTGCTCTTACTCTCTATTGTTCGCCTAATTTGCGATAGGAGTAGTAATCGATGTATTGCTGCGCTAATCAAGGGGCCGTATTCAATCCTTCCTCCAGGGGGATGCATCCCCCTCCTTTGATTCAATCCTCTCCAGCTTTGGGGGGAGACAAAAAAGGGTTGCGTCATAGGACGCCACACCTCTGTGTTTCTGTCTGCCAGACAGTTAGAGCAGCGCGAGTACCCAGAGGGGATGTATCCCCCTGGGGGAAGGATTGAACTCGGCCCAAGAAAACTGATCATCCGAGACGAAGAAGTGATAGGCTACTGTTCGCAGGTTTTCATGGCGCAGATGTCCAACAGTCCCAACAGTGCTCCCTCTTTTTATAGTGTTCCATATTTAGCCTCATATTTTTTAGAACGCGGTGAAGTTGTTATTTGGAATACAAATGGATCTCAACATATTTTCCGAGACGAAGGTGCTGTACGTGGTACGAAATTACGCTTAAGTGCTGATGGAAATAAAGTAGCCTGTGGGTACGTCTGTGAAAGCGTGTTCTTTGAAATATTAATTCCATATGCGAAACGAATAATACTTGTTCTGTTCAGGTCAAATACTGGTATTGTAAACCTTTACGATGTAGCTGATGTCCGGAACAGTACTGATCCGAAACCACGTGCGGTAGTGTCAAACCTTCTGACATCATGCGACTCGATAGCTTTTAATCATGACTGCCAAGCAATGGCGTTCAGTAGCAATGTTAAAGTAGGTCATTTTCACTTTTCTTATGCATTTCAAAAAAGCCTTTGCGCCAATACTCATTTTCAGAAGAATCAAGTGAAGCTATTGCATGTGGCTAGCGGTACTGTTTTCAATAACTTTCCGAAGAAACATGAGAAGGTACATTTCCTTAGTTCTCATCAACTAATATCACTGTCACGAATTGCATCCATTACTTGATGAGGATTGCCAAGGTAGAGCCCAAATAGGACTTCCTTTAAAATGTTGATCCTTTGTGCCTTCACAAGTTTGTTACCCAGTGATTGCGCGCACACCGAAATATTGGTGTGCGCGTACATATGCTCTTTGTTTACTATGAAACGTCATGGTTTATTTTGCTTTTTATAGATGTCCAATGTTGAGTGCGTTGAATTTTCACCGCATAGCGGTTATCTGGGAATTGGATGTGGAAACGGTCAGCTAATTCTGGAGCGCATGCAGCACTTTGAGGACTACTGAGTACTTGGACCCTACCTGAATTGATGATTTTTATAGTGTATATTTGTTGAATATGCTGTTATGTTATAATAAGTTGTTGTACGCTGCTTGTTGTGTTATTGATGGTTACTGAGTTTTTTTTTCCGAAGTGAACAAGAAAAGATCACTACGCGATGACTCCTTGTTACATACCTGAGTATCTGGTAATTTTCGTTATATCAGTTTCATTATCTTAGCATTTGTTCTTGAGTCTTCGTTTGCTAAGTGTATCTTGACAGTTGTTTTGTTATTCCTTCATGATCGAAAAGTTATATTTGTAAATGAATCCCAAAGAGTATAAAGTTTCAGTGTTCTTCTCAAGAGTTGTGCTGTCAAGGTAGATTTTGGTCGCCTTTTCTAACTAACTCTGTATGTTAGCCAACTCATTTTTCGCTTCCCACCTCCGGTGGTCAGGCTGATAGGAAGTAATGGCGTACCGCACGTAATTCTCTTGATTTACGCTTAAATTTATTCGTTTGTGTGGTATCGGTATATTTTCAGTCACAATGACCACTTCATCCTAGAAAGTTTCTTTTGCAATGACTGAGACATTCACTTCTGCTCTGAAGGTGGTCAAGGTAGTGTGTTGTCGATGAGGACTTCTTTGAGGCATGAGATTATGTCGGTATTTTCTCCACAGATCTAAATTATCCAAGTAGTTTTCTTTTGCTAGAGTTTCCCCTATGTTCACCTAAGCTCATCCCATCCTCTTCATACTTCTCCTTATAAGAAAATAAACTAGCCCTAAAAAACCTCTAACACTATGGTATCCAGGGTCAACTTGGGTGTGCTTCGCTTGGACAGAAAGCGACTTTTTTTGCTTTTCGCAGTGTGGAAGTTTTTTTCCTGCGAGAACCCCAGGTCCACTACGGCCAGTGGTGAACCTGAGGCTCCCGCAGCAAAAAGAAGTTTCGTACTGCGAGAAGTGGAAAGTCGCTTCCCATCCTAGCGAACCACACCCTATCAACTTTCCCGATGGCAAGACCAATGTCTCGATTCAGCTACAATTTGCTCCCAAGAATAGCTTGATTCACTTGATTTCTAAGACTGATTCACTTGATTTCTAAGACACGAGTACGAATTTTGCATCCTTTTCGTGCGAAGATATGTGCATGGCGTGTGCTTTATGGACGTGACGCGAACAATCCGGCATGCATGGTTGCTGTCAACATAGGCCGGTGTCAGGCTGTCAATACAGCGATTCACTAGCGCGCGGGATACGGGCGTTGCACAAGCGAGCCATGTACCAGCGGATCGAACGATGTACTAACAACTCTACACTGTTTGAAAGTGGCGGGACTTCTTTTGAACGTTGGGTCCCCCACATTCGGCTCCCCCACTTTCCTCACGACTTGGAGCGCGGTCGCAGCGAGCGCGGACGAGTCCACAGCAGGGTGAATAACGGTCGAGGAAATCCTCGACAGGGGGTCGTATTTGCTCCGATGAGAGTTGGGAGGGGGTCGTAATCAAAAGGTTCATCAACGGACACAACGGTGCTGCTGCCACTTATTTGCTGTCATCATTAGTTTCACAAGTGTTGTACTTAGCCTAATGCAAATAACATCTTACAAGTGGTTGTTGGTTTGGTTCGTAGTGATCAGTATGGCATAGGAAGGCAACGCGTCCTGCAAAAGAATCGTAGGGAAAGGGCAGCGAGTATCTACTCTAGAATGATGCACATGCTTCGAGAACTTACAAGGGAGGTCGTTCAGGGTGTGGAGCGCTTTTTCAAAACGGTTTTTTGCATGCTGTAGGGGCTCTCACGGGGACTACAATACTATGTTTCATTTTCGCTGAGCGGCCTTCTGAAGGCCAAAAATTGGTAGGGAAGTGGTCCAAGGTTCAATCCCTCTTGATGACAGAATTTTTGCACTTTAGTTGGAGCTTCGAAATTTCCTTAAAATAGCGCCAGCACCAGTACTAGGTATCGTACTCATCATTAAGACCATGAGCAAGAAATGCAGTCAAACTTTTTCCAGAATCTGTGGAAAAAAGTTGTAGCGCCAGAAAGGCGCCAAACGGCGCCAAACTAGCGTAAATTGAAGCTATCGGAAAAAATTAATGTCATATTCGTGATCAGGGCACTCGATATTCCCTAAATCAGAAGTTCTTGAGAAAATTGAGAATTTGACCTGGATCCGAAAAATTGGCCAGTGATAGGTCAGTAGCCCATAGTTGCCTCCAGCCGGTGCACTGGAAACGAGTTCCCAGTTATCCTTCTCAAATAACGAGAAGTATCCACTGCTAAATGGACAATGGGAGACACCCAGGCTGGTAATGGGCAACAGGGCACCATGATTTTGAAGTCGGCAGATTCTCCCCTTCATCAAGACGTGGTAATTGGGTCCACGGCTCCTCCACTCGCAAGGCTGCGTGTCCATAGATGGAGCGATTTCAAGGACTGCGACATGATGGAAGATGTTCCCTATGAAACCGAACTTTAGTTCCCGTGAGCCGACAAGGCATTGCGCTTGATTTCGGCGCCGCACTCGTATTCAAGTCGCTCGGCTACAGGTCGTCATACCTGTAGCCCATGGCCACCCTCTTTTTCGAAGTTAGGTCAAAACCTAGATTTTTCCTGAAATTTGGCATGTGGGGGTAGATCAGGGTCCTGTACACGATTATGGCGTTCGTTTTTGACGTCGGCGCCATTTGGCGCCAGTTTGGCGCTGCGAACTTTTTCTTCCAATTTTTGGTAGAAAACCCATTTGCAAGGGCTACTGACGGTCCTGAATGAGAATATAGCGTTAATTTTGACGCTGAAGCAATTTGGCGCCAATTTGGAGGTGATTATCAAAAATGCAAAATTAGCCAGGAGCGGACTCGATCCACAAAGTCGTGCCAACCCCAGTCCACCACGCTATCCACTCGGCCACCTGCTCGCTGCGATGTGTAGGTGCCGACGACGCCTATGAAACCTCTACACTTTCTTCAGCAGTACCACGTACAGTGCTTCAATTTTGAGCGAATTTCGAGTTGTTTTCGATATTATCTTCATCGGCGCCCTTCAAAATGCAGGTGGTCGTTTGTACAGGTCCGAAACTTCACTCCAAGGCAGCAAAAACCACCCCTTCTTAACGAATTTTTTTTCGACCATTTTTTGGCCTTCAGGGGGCCGCTCAGCGAAAACGAAACGCAGTATTGTGGTCTACGTGAGAGTCCCTACAGCATGCAAAAAACCGTTTTGAAAAAGCTTCCCACACCCTGAACGACCTCCCTTGTTAGTGGAGGAACAGCATCTTGGTAGAAAGTTCAAAACAGGCAGATTCGCAGCCTTCTTGGCATCATCAGATCCTGCAACCGCAAGCTGTCATTCATCAGAACGGGTTGGAAAGGAAGCGATTTGAATAAAGGAATGATCAGACATCACTATGACCACAAGAGTTATCCTAATTAGTTAATACTGGAAATATCTTTTGGTGTGCTTAAGCAAGTCGTCACTAGGACAAAACACCTTCCCAATGACTCCGAGTGGGGTCACTGCATGGCGCATACAAGAACGGAATGGATCCGCGCCAAGTGCATCATTTTCAATTTACTCCATCGAACTGACGCGTACAGAAGTATTTTGAAGGTGTTCAAAGAAGTTCCCTACTACGGCGAGGGAGTAATAGAGTTTTCGAGTGGCTTCGAAAATTTCCTTGACATTTCCTCGACGCAGATTTCTCGCGAACTAGAAAGCGTTCGAAACAACTGGAGCACCTATCAGAAAGCGTAAATCTTCTACTTTACAACGCTTTCCTCCGATTTTCAAAGCATTGCCAATGAAGACAGCTACTGTCTTCCAAAGAGTGGGAACTCGCATGTAAATTTCAATTTCCTCGACAATTTCTCGACGTCTCCCACTCTCGAGAATAGGCGTGCTTAGAAAAACGCTCAGCACAATTTAGAAACTAGAAGTCTTGTGCATTCAAAAGCTGCCTTCACTTTCTGAAACGGTTATTAATGAAAAAAGTTATACTCCTTTGAATCACACGGCCTAACTTCTGCGGCGGCTTCCACCCTCTCAGTTGGCCGTAATCTCTCTGACTAGTAATTTCTCGTTTTATAGCGAATGCCTACTTCTGAACTGGTGAGTGGGCGCAGACACACGGACAGATGCGTCGGTGATCCCCCTTCCCCCCTCATCACGACCACAGCCGCACTGCCATTTCATATTCGAACAGCTAGCAAACTGTATTGTGGTCAGGAGCTTAACGCGGCCCAAAAGGCAGGAGTAACATTCTCTCAAATCGAACGTACGTAAAAGCCATTGAAGTGAATTTTCTGTTATTTGCAAGAACCTCATGTCACGTACATTTTAGGAACGAAACAGCTTGTTTTTACTACAATCCTCCGCCTTTCACTACAATCGCCCCTCTCCTCCCGCTCCCCTTGTAATCACACTCTTTCCAAAGTTGTGTGTACGGAATGCCGCTCAAATACGAATTTGAATTAGATTTCGCGCGAATAGCAAATAACACATCGCTTCCTGGGACGGTATCAATCCTTCCCCTAGGGGTTGGGGGACGAAAACCCTTTAAATTTTCTCTGTCTTCCCAACTGGGATTGTCCTGATAAAGGGCCTACATTTAATGTATGTATGTCAAGTAAGCATGCATTGAAAATGAAGAAACTACATCGTTAAAAACAAATAAATTTAAAGGGATTTCCGTCCCCCAACCCCTGGGGGAAGGATTGAATACCGCCCCTGCTCTTGTCTACGCTAAATTGCTACTAATTACTCCAATAGCTTCGCACACCCCTACTTATGCCCGTGCTGGCTTACCTCACCTCAAGAAATGAACCCAACAGCTGTCAGCTGCTGAATTTCGTTGCTTTTGCGTTCTGGTCTTCCAGACTGATTCAGAATTCGGGCCTCTAATGTAAGGACTATAAACTGCTGACCTATATGAACTCTCACAACAAAAAAAAACTTTAGGTTTTAGTTGAGTAGTTTCTTGAAAAAATACAGGAAGAATTTGTGATTAACATTTGAAAAAGAATGTTTTTTGATATAATAGATGGAAGAGTTCTGAATCTGTTGAGCTTTTCGAAATGGATGTAAATTATTGCATATTATTATTGCATAATTATTGCGTTGTTGTTGAGCATCATAGCAGTACATACAGTAGCGGTCAAAAGTGTTTGCTGGCGGATTTTCGTTTTAGTTCTCCAAGAAAAAAGCACTTCACGGTTATATTTCTTTTCAGAAGATTTTCTCGTCTGTTTGTAATATGAGAGCCTTTTCCAGTGCAGTCGCTTTTTCGTCCACTCTTATTGATTCATCACAGAAGGGCGTTAATAGTTGATCAGACCGCTCGATCCTATATTAAGTCTTTAACCATTATATGACTTATGCTTCCAGACATCACGCATGAACTTGGCTCACCTCAAGTCGCCGAATTCATGCCTGCTGTACAAGTTTGCCTTCAAACGCTATATCGATGAAGGCACATTCACAGATGAGGAGGTCGCGTGTATTTATGATGAGGTCGGTAGCATTGTTCATTAGCCTTACAATTAGTAAATGTTTATTTCCTGAAGTTTCTGATTCCAACACAAATCGCTTAGGTGACTGGTGCGGTCCGCCGATACGCCAGGTTGGTTGGGACTGGCTCGCGAGCCCCTAACAGTAACTCTACAGGTCCACACGTGGGTTTTATTCTATTTCAGGGAGGGAACTCAGGCTTCTCGATATCGACGACGGGACAGTACCACCTATACCACCAGTGCAATAGGCTTTAATTAGGCTCTTAATGGCAGCTAGCAGTAGGCTGAGCTAGAACAAAAAAAAGCGAGTTGTCAATTAAACAAATAACATTAGGAAGCGAATGAAGTTGAATGGGAGACAGAAATGAGTGGCGGCGCCCTCAAGTCGGGTGTGGGTACTTAGGACAGAACGCGACTTTTTCGCTCTTCGCAACGCGACATCGCGCGGCAGGCTGGCGCACCCGCAGCGAAAACAACTACGGTATGGAAGAACGCGCGATTGGAGCGCGATATTTGTGTCGGCTTTGATTGCGACAAGGAGTTTGAAGCTTAATAGCCATGGATTTTGATGAACGAGGAAATGGTAACCAGAAGTAGGAACGCCTAACTAGCAGTGAAGAGGGAGGTAGGTTATTTTTGCAGAGATGGATGGTAGAGCTTCTGGAGAACCTGGAAGAGGAATGGTTGATGGACGTTTGATGAGACGACTGTAAACTTCTGCATAGGGGTTATTTGGGGCCCTGATCATGAATATGACACTCATTTTTCACATTCGTGCTGTTTAACGCATACTTTCTGCTTTTCTAAGCTTTCTCACCTACAGCGCCTACGACTAAGCTTAGGGGAGGGGAGTGAAACTCCGGAGTGGGTAAACCACGCACCGTGTGGCAAAAGTTGGAGTGTGTCAGACCACAGGGGAATGGCCTACCCACTTTGGAGCCCTACACTACTCAAAGGCTTAGTCCTATTGCGATCTAATTAGTGCGAGGGCGCAGACGAGCAGGAAGCAGGCGCCGAATAGCGCTAACAACAAATCAGGACCCCGAATAACCCCTATACAGAAGTTTACAGCGAATTTAGTGGGAATCAGTTGTGGCGCCACCCGGCCCCAAATGGCGCCAGCGTCAAAATGAGTATCATATCCGTGATGAGGACAGAAGCGTTCCGTAAAAGATGTTATACCCTTATGCAGATGTCTATACAACAATATGAACCCACAAAATGCAAGCACAAGCGACACTATTAAACCCTCGTTCACCGATAATTCGTAAAACACCATTTGTGTGGCATCGCCCGGAATCGTGTAAGTCACAAAACGTTTTCAATAATGAGACAGAATTAGTGATTCACCGCATTTATCAATACAATGGGTGTGAGCGCGGGCAAGTAAGGAATCAGAAACTTACAAATTCACGCATGCAAAAAAGCTGCTCCAATCGCGCGTTCTTCCATACCGTAGTTGTTTTCGCTACGGGTGCGCCAGCCTGCCGCGCGATGTCGCGTTGCGAAGAGCGAAAAAGTCGCGTTCTGTCCTAAGTACCCACACCCGTAGGCTCTGAACGATTCGCAGTCACCCCGGATCGTAGATTTTGCGTTTCCTTCATTTGAGGTCTCCTACTGTGAACTTTGCATTATTCTCATTCCTTCCACTTTAATGTGAAACATGTATTCTTATCTGCATCTCCTTGAGCTTGGTTATGGTCATGTTTCATTGTTCTCGGACAACGTAATAATTAATTTTTTCAGTTTTATTAGACATGAGGGTACCGTTTCCTGTTTAATTCCTATCCTTCCAAAAGCGCTGTTCCAGCTGAAGACTTCCAATCGATCTACATGGGGGTCTGCTACACTTTTTTGTAACCAACCAGATTTCGATCAAACTTCTATTGCATAGTTCAGTTGATGGAGGTGGCTAAACGATTGGATGCTCTGAGGACAAGTCGTGGTCTTGTTTACAACCTTGACCCGAATCAAGAGGTTAGGATCTTAGCCACTTTTGTTTTATACTTGCTATTGTTGGAGCTAGCATCACGACCATTTCTCCTCAATAACTGCTCTCGCTGGCATTGCAGTCATCCTCCATTCTCTCCGTCTCTCTCTTGCTTTGGCGTTCAGTTGAACTTGTGGTCCCAGCAAATTGTCCAACTGCTCTATCAAAAGTAACCTGAGCGTGAGCAAGAATAAATAGTTGTGTGCCATCGGTTACAATGATCTCCGCTAACACTAGGCCATTTTCTTCTGTCAGGCTGGTGTCAGAGTCCGCGATCCGTCGCAGGTTTCGCGCGATTCGAGCGATTACGCAATTCGCGCGGATCGCAAAATTGCAAGTGCCCCATTTGAACATTTGAAACACTGAATATGAAACATGTGCAGTCGTCATTCAGCCATCACTATCAAGCAGAAGTGGCGGCAGGATTGGAGAACACCTTGTTGATCGGGCACTTGTGATTTCCGTGACCCGTCGCGTGAATCGCGTAAATCGTATAAGTCGCTTAAATCGCGCGAAACCTGCGACGGATCGCTTACTTTGACACCAGCCTCACTCTTCTGCTTTATTCGCTCATTTAGTACATAAATTGCTCACAGTTGAGATTCAGAACAGTCCCAGCGGTTCGCTGAGTGATAATGACGACGATTCTTCTGAATCCGACAATGAAGCAGTGGCTGAGCACAACAATGATGTAGTCCCGGTGGAGCCCAGCGAAAAGACCCAAAGTCAGTCGGGTCATGAAGCGAACGATGGTAAAAGGTATCTTCCGCGTCCGTTTTGGCACGCTGTCTCTGTAATGTTTATCAATCACTGCTGATGTTCAGGAAAAGGCGTAATGACGATGAAAAACTAGATGAAGTGGTGATCAAATTCAGTCACATCTCTCTTGACACTGAGGTTGTACTTTCAAAAGAGTTACTTTAAGCAGAGGTCTCTGACACAGAGACACAGCTTTTAATTCTTCATTGGGTCTCTGAAAATATCAATCGAGAATGGTTTTTCTAGGAATCTGCCAACAAGGATAGCCGCACGAGTGATCTTGCCGATAAACCGAGTTCCATGATAACTGTAGTTAGACCTTCTCAATGTCAAGATAAATTCTCCGGCGGTGGTCATGGAAATCAGGGTGCTGTAGACTCACGTCCACTTAGACCTGCGGAGGTACGATTCCCATGACATGAAGCTATGTTTGCGTACGTGCTTGCGTGCATGAACATGGGTGTGAATGCATCCATTGGCATGCATCAATGGCTAATTTTCCGGAAATAGGTCAAAATCTATATGGAATATCCGGTGCTCTTATCATGAATATGACATTCATTTTTCCCAATGGCTCCAATTTACGCCACTTCGCCGACAGTTGGCGCTGTTCTCGCGTTACAACTTTCTTGTGCCAGTTCTTCGCTTCCACTTCAACTTTCTCGTGGCCAAGTCCGGTAAAATCTGAGTAAACTGAATAGGTGATAAGGAATACTCAATACCTAACTACTAGGCGCTGCTAACGTCTTTGCAGCAAATTTGAAGTTCAGTCTGAAAATACAAGAAAATTTCGTCACACGGGGCGCCTCCCGATGGTCTTCAGACCATTTACTCACCACTTTTGGCCATCACAAGATCGTTTGGCGGAATTGGACCCCGGTTTTTCAGTCAACGCATGAGCCGCTGTAACATGCAGGTAGCCGTTTTGAAAATGCTCTACACCTACGACCTTCTTTGTAATCACCAAACGTCTCCGACTCTGTCAACGTAGCGATAGGCTTTCAGCTTTGTTGTGCTCGTCTGGAGTCTCTCACAAGGCGCACTCATACGAGAATATCGCTTTCCAACTCTCTTCAAAAGGCTGAGTCCCACTACAACAAAGAACATCTTTTCCTTCTACACTCACCCCCTGGTTCACAGAAGCGTAACCAATTAAAGCACCATGGTTCAAATTTTGAACTGCATGCGTGTGCCCTTGTTACTGTGATTTATGGCCACCCTGAAGGAAAAAAGCAATCTTGTCATGACAGAAGAGCGTCTGAAAACCCAATTGAGCGGAACTGAAGTCGAAAATAGAGGCAAAGTACTACAAAGGTGATTGACCAGGTCAGGGGATCCACCGATGAGGTCCACATTAGATGAGTTCAGCCGGCATGAAGTGCCCTTCACATAGCTGACCATTTTAATTTGCGCGTATCGTAGTTCGAAAAACAGAGATGGACGCGAGTCCACGAGAACTTAGGGAGACGAGGAATTTAGTCACTGCAAGTGAAAATACCCTAATTTCCGGTGTATAAGCCCGCGCCGATTTCACGTAAAACCACCCCCGCTCGTGCAGTGTAACTTTGTACACCTTAGAAACCACCGCAAATTTGCCTATAGAGGTAAGTCGATGCCCTGATCACGAAAATGACTTTCATTTTCAGCGCTGGCGCCATCTGGCGCCAGTTGGCGCCACCTTGTCACGACCCTTGTTTTCGTCAAAATCGGTGTAAACTTCAGTATAGGGGTTATTTGGGACCCTGATTACGAATATGACATTCATTATAGGCGCTGGCGCTGTGTTGACCGCGTATAATAACTTCGTAACTCCTTACGAAGTATAGGACGCCATTATTCGCGGGGACGCACTGCTTAAAGCAACAATCCAGGAACGAATTCGCGGGTAAGGACCACCTATAATGACGTTGCAGGTGAGAAGTTGGTCAATGGAGAAAGAAAAAGTAGAAAAAAACGTCGGGCAGGGGCTTAGACAGGGACTCCCCCTGCCGTTTAGGGAGATGTGTGTTGGACGAGTTGTCCGAACCTGCCCGTAGTACATGCGCTCCAATTGAACTGCTGGCAAATAGCCATGCATGCTTGCAAATACATAACTATTTGCCAGCAATCGAAATTGAAGCGCTTCAATTGCGTTCTTATGGAATCGACCTCATACAGCGCGGCGGTCCCGCAACGACCGCTAGTCGAGCAAGCGCTCTGCACAGCGAATGTTGGGCGATCCGCCTCTTTATGGGTGATCCGCCCCCTCCAAGAGGACTTCGACCCCTTCCAGCGCATTTTAGAGGTAGGTTTTGAAATTAAAGACATTTCCTATAAACTTTAGTTGGGCTGGGGCATGTTTTGACCGCCTAATGACCAAGTAGTTGAAACCCTGCCTGGACTGTTGCTTTAACGCTTTCGGGAATAGGACATGCATGCCCTAAGAGATCAGCTGAGCTGGACACAGTAGGTCGAGGAGGCGGTGGTTGATCGTGGGTGGTCATGAAAGGCCACCTGTGCCAGAGGGAAACGATTCGCGCGGGAAGGTCCCAATAAAAGGGGTCCGTGTTCCTTCACAGTATCTCTCTTCCAGTTCTTCTCCAGTTCCAGTGCTGCAGTGGTTCCTGACGTTTCAGTGACCCACCTGCAGTGTTCTCTTCTCTAGCTTCAGTGTTTCCGCGTTGTGGCATCTGTGTGGTGCCTTAGTAGACTTCCTGTTGAGAGCCGTAGGGTCCGCAGGCAAGAGGACCTAGGCTCAGAGGAGTAGCCTTAGTGGCTGAAAGGTGAGAGCCTTAGTGGCTCGTTAGGGGAGCCTCAGTGGCTCGGTGATTGGCCTTAGTGGCCTGAGGAGGGAGCCTCCGTGGCTCGGAATTTGGCCTGAGGGCGCCAGAGAAGCACTTGTGGCTTGGTGGGAGCTGGCCTCCAGAGGTCCAGTGAGGAAAAGTCTTCGTGACTCCCGGGAAGAGAGATTGCGCCGTGCACCTCATTGCTGCCCTCGGCTCAGTGGTCCCGACCAATCGATACAATCCGCCTCCCATCGTCCCGTGATCTTTGTAAATTGCATATTTATTGTTGATTTTTCTGTTTAAATAAATATTCCTTTCTACTTGTCTTGAGCTCAGTTAGTGAGGGTTACTCACACGTCGCAGCCACGAATCCATCCTACACTACATGGGGGCCGAACCGACTGCGACGATACGAGTAACCAGCAACTGAGCAAGAGAAACAAGTGCAGAGTCCGGAAAGGAAGGTGGTCACAAGGTCGGCTGAAAGAAGGAAAAGTCGATCGAGTTTCGACATTGGGGTGGAAGAAGGAAACACCCAAAGAGATAAACCAAGAGGTCTAGACGATGGAGTTCGAAGAAGTGGGGGACGAGAATAAAGTGTCCCTACAAGTGAAGAATATAGATCAAATGAACCAAAGTGGAAAGGGAGAGCAACAAAGAGAGATTTGTTTCCGAATTATGTGAAGCCCAGCGGAGAGCCAGCGAGGTTCTTGGGAAGTCAAGAATTTCGAATCAGGCCAAGGAAGAATTACCAAGGTATATGGGCGAAAGTTAGTGAAGAGTTAGGAGAATTATGGGGTAAGAGTCAAGAAGGGAAAGCCGTGCCTTCTCTCTTGGAGAGAGAGATTGCGGCATTCATGAGTCAAAGAGGGATCGAGTGTGTTGATGATTGGAAAGAATATGTGAGAACCATGGAGCAAGATGGGGAAACAATGGCAGATATCTGTGATATGCTGAGGACAGATGTAGTCCACGTTAAAGGAGAAATAGCAGCTCTCTTCAGGAGCAGTGCAAGAGCAAAGAAGAGTCTATTAGGGCCGAAAACAGGATAGGCCAATCAAACGCAGTACATGGCGGAGGACAAGGCGTCCAGTGGCGGGCAATGTCCTGGATTGGGCAGGGGTATGGCGATAATTGTTTATGTTCTCATCGTCAGTCTCCGGTTTCGACCTTGCCTTCACGGGATGATAAAGATGGGTCAGTATCCCAGAATCTACTAACCTACCTAAGGTCAATGGCGTGCGCAGACCCTGGGGTCTTCAGTGGTGAAAGAAATGAAAATTTCGAAGAGTTTGTAAGACGATTCAAAAGAAAATATGAGAAAGTTATAGGATGCGAGGCCACCCTGATAGAAATTTTCGGTGATGACCACCTGGGTGGTCGAGCGAAGAGTGTATTCACTGCCCTTCCTCAGCGGACGAAGGAACGCGGTCTGGATTTTGTCATTGGAGAACTGGCCAGGCTTTTGTCGCAAGAATCGACGGCAGGAAGGTTACGAGCCCTGACAGAACTGAGGAACCTGAAAATGAGGCCTGGCCAGGAAGGTGGCCGAATTCTGTATAGCCTTGGAAAATCTGGGAAAACAGGCCAATCCAGACTGTACAATTGAGGAACGCTCGTTGGAATACGCCCAGATTCTCCTGGATAATCTCAGTGATTGGCCCGAACACTTTCAGTTGGTAGGGGCTCTACACAGGGTGGATGCCCGAAAGGCGTACGAAGAGGTCAAACAATTAGCGCTCAGCATAGAGCAGTCTAAGCTGGTGTTCGGAGTTAGTAGGAGATCAAGTGTAGGTCATTGGAAAAATAGGGCCGCTCAGTATCGTAGTCATGGAGGTATGAACATGTCAGAAAAGGCACAGTTCACTCACGTCGGGGTCGAGAACGTGAGTGAAGAGGGAGCTAGGATATATGAAAATGACGGACGAAACAACTATCGAACAGGCTCAAGGATAAGAAAGGAGTCTCAGGAGCAAATACGGTACAGTGAGGCTGATGAGCTCGATTCTTCGCGAAGTGTTGCGGACAACAGGAAGTGTTATAAGTGTTTGAGATATGGACATATAGCCAGGAACTGCCCTCTATCTGCAATAAGAGTGAATCAAGTCAGGGAACAAGGTAGTGCTGAGAAGAAAACCTTGTCGGAGATCATCAACCAAGCCCGAAGTCTAGGGATGGTAGCACAGGACATTGGAAAGGCAACTGAGTTAGTAGGTAATAGAATTGTCAAGCAATTGAATCTCCTTGGTGGTCGACATCCGGTACTGATCGACACAGGGTCAATGATTAGTGTGATACCCGTGGAAACTCTAGCAAAAGCACAGGATGAAGGAATGAACCTGGACGCGCTGAAACTTGTAAAGGAATCTCAGCTTGCGCCTGTCTTTGATGCATCCGATAACAGGATGAGATTTTTCGGAGCGGTATACATTGAGACCGAGCTAGAAGGAGGGAACCGAGCTTTGGTACCGTTCCACATAAGCCCGAGTAAAGGCGACATGATAATACTTGGTACTAATGCCCTAAGAAAGTTGGGTGTGAAACTTTCCATAGTTGCGGATAGAAAGGAAAGCAGTAAACAGTGGACGGAAAGAGAAGATGAGAGCAATGCAACGGTGGTAAGGCGCATGCACGTACCTACCCGCGGCGCAGCTTGGGTGCATGCGCATGACTATAGAAAATCTTCAGCGGAAGTAGGGGAGAGGTGGATCAGTGGAGGAAGTGTAGCGCACGAAGGATACACCGTTAAGAATCTAATGGTCAGTCCACCTTCTCGGAAGAGAAGAGCCAATGCGGGACGCAGGAGAACACGTAAGAATGGGGAAAGATTGCCAAAAGTTGTATATGAACCTGTAAGAGAAGCTGCGTCCACAATTTGTAAAGCCCACAGAGGTACGGAGGCGATAAAGCAACGCAAAGAAGCCATTCGCTACAGGGTCGAATTGCCGCCGCTAGGCGTTGAGCGGTCGATGAGGGCATCGACTTCAGCGAGGGGGGGCATGTCAGGGAAAGACATGCATGCCTTAAGAGATCAGCTGAGCTGGACACAGTAGGTCGAGGAGGCGGTGGTTGATCGTGGGTGGTCATGAAAGGCCACCTGTGCCAGAGGGAAACGATTCGCGCGGGAAGGTCCCAATAAAAGGGGTCCGTGTTCCTTCACAGTATCTCTCTTCCAGTTCTTCTCCAGTTCCAGTGCTGCAGTGGTTCCTGACGTTTC